CATTCCCTAGCAAAACCAGTTGAAGTTATAATAATTTCAGAGTGGTTCGACACATCATATTGTAAGTCCAACCCATGTTGAGGGTTGAGAATTGGAGCAGCAGAACATGGGGAGTGACCCTGCTTCTCGTGGTCAACTGAGAATACTGATTTATGGGGGGGGGTTGCCATCTTGTAACTCCACTATCTGGAAAATGTAGCCTTCAAGATCTCTGAGGAAGGGAAAGAGTGTGGGGTGGTGATGGAATCACATGGCGTCACTCTGCTTGGTGAGCCACATACAGACCCATATTCCTACAAGGGGCTGGGAAGGGAGACAGAAGTGGCGCACGAAAACGCGAAAAAAAAAAAAAAAAAAAAAAAAAAAAAAAAAAAAAAAAAAAAAAAAAAAAAAAAAAAAAAAAAAACCAGGAACTGACATATGTCACTCCTGTTTACATTTCATGAATAAAACACACAGACCCATATTCCTACAAGGGGCTGGGAAGGGAGACCTTCCCTGTATTCAGGAAGGACAGGAGAATTGGATTGTGAGTGAGAACTAGTACTTAACTACCACAGCAAGCTTTAGGTTATTTTTAGTGTTTGTGTCTTCGGAGGCTGTGTACATTATGCATACTTGCAACTTTGAAACTGTCCCCCATTTGAATGATTGCAAGTTGAATCAAATTCAAATATACCCTTAATCCAAGTCTACTATCAGGAAAAACAAACAAACGAAGTTTTGAATGTGAAATAAAACCGTATTGGGAGTTTTGTGAGTGTTCCAGTTTCATTTTCTTTTAAAGTTTTTCTTTGTGATAGCATGTTTATTCAATTCCTGAAGTGTTGTCAAGTAAGTAGTATTTAATCTGTGAAAATTTTCAAGTGGACCCTTTTTCTCTCTCAAGGGTTTTCTTTCTTTTTTTTTTTTTTATTTTCTCAAGTGTTGCTGTAGTCATTTTAAGATTGAAATGAACCGTTTGATTTTAAAAAATTATTTATGGCACATCAAGTAGCACTTAGTGTTTTGTCACAACATTGAAACTGTTTCTGAAACCTATGTAAAATACAGCAGAAAGGTCGGGAGGCTTATGTATAGAAACATACCTCACCATTGGAACTGGTTATAATTCCTGGGTGCTGACATCAAGATTAATAATATTTAACTCCGATTTTGGCAATTTTTGCCAATTTTATTGCCATGGTCCTTTTCTTTCAAGTTATTAACTGGAACTGAAGTGATAACAAATGTTTCATGCTTTATATTGCCAGATAAAAGGTTAAATTTTCATATGTTACATGCTCTTAACACACACACACACACACACACACACACACACACACACACAGACAAATATTCATACAACTGGATCAGAAGGAAATGAGTAATTCTCCTAAAATGAAAAGATTGTCCTAGTTTTAACATTAGGTGACTAGTTCCCATGCGGTTAAGTCATATGTAAAAATTGGAAATTCAACCTATGGGTCTTTGTGCATTGACTATATCATACAGTTCTAATTTTCTTTTGTTTTTCTGGGAAATGATGGTGCTCTTTGCTTTGCCAAGTTTTATTATTGAGTCAACTGCCAAAGTTTAAGAGAGAGAGTTAAGGCCCTGAAAATTATTTGGTGTTGAGTGAAGAGGCAGAGAAAGGTATTTCATATTCCCAAACATTTTAACTTTTATGTCTCTACCTGATGTTGGAATATAATCTAACCTTCAAGGCTTTTCTGATTCCTTTATAAATGATGTACACTGTTGAGTGAAATCAGAATATTTGTGAAGGGGACCCAGTTTGGAAGTACATAGTCTAATTTTTGATAGACTGTATTCTTTCTTGCCTGATCGTCCCTGTATTTAAACTTCTGTGCATCAGGAGGCCTTTGTGCCTGCTTGTGGTTTTGTACCATCTGGAAGTTAAAATTTGATTTTAGAAATGATGTCATACTTGCTTACTGCAAACTGGGCTAATGTTGGTTGAGAATTGGATACAGTTCAGGTCAAAGTTTTGTTTTAAAAAAAGACTCTTAAACCTTGTTTCTTGATTCCAGGAGACTGCAAAGCTATGAGGATAGACTGGAGTGATTGAAGGTCGTGATTCAAATTCCTTTGAAGCTAAATAAATGCATTTGGGTGTATGGAAAATAAACTTCCCAACAGAAGACCTTAGCTGGCACAGGCTCCCTCCTGCCATGTAGAATTTGGATGTTTGCGAGCAGTGTGCTGACCATGGCCATCCTTGCTCTCTATTTTATTCTTGGAGGAGAGATATTCTTACAGCCAGAGTTTTGTCTCTTCTAGGTTCAGGAAGATGAGGCAGGGCACTGATAGATCACACATGTGAGAAGGCACAGTAAATTTTAAGCATATTATTCATCAGTGCAGAGTCTCTTTTTCTAAACTCTTTCCAGCATCCGTTACTGCCTCCCAAATTGTAATTTATTTATGTCAAAGTTTTGAATGTTAGACATTTCCTCTAGTCCAGATACAGACCATCCATGTTTGATAGCTAGAATGTAGGGCTCATAGGACCACAGTTTCTTCTCAAATTCACACTGAATCCAAGTCAGCCTGTGGGAAATCTTTTCAATGGAATGTAACCCCTTATAGCCACTACTATAATCTGGAGTGCTCAACATGTCCTGCCAATTTCCAAAGAACCTACTAAATGCCATCCTTTATGTATAAAGTAAAAATCACATTTTTTTTTCCAGATAGGATGAAAACCCAAAGAGAACTATTGATGTTATTTTGGGTTGGTAGATGGAGATGACTTTATATTTTATTTTCTTAATTTGAAATGTATTATCAAATTGGTTTCCATACAACACCCAGTGCTCGTCCCAACAGGTGCCCTCCTAAGTACCCATCACCAACCCTCCCCTTTCTTACACCATACACAAAAATAAACTCAAAATGGATAAAGGACCTGAATGTGAAACAGGAAACCATCAAAACCCTAGAGGAGAAAGCAGGAAAAAACCTCTGTGACCTCAGCCTCAGCAATTTCTTACTTGATACATCTCCAAAGGCAAGGGAATTAAGAGATGACTTTAAACAATCTGGGATGTTTAAACAATCTTGAGAATCTGGGATGCTGAAGCTTTAGTGCAACTGGCATGAATTTTCTTTTAGTCAAAGGAAGATCCCTAGGACATGAGTATCCCTCTCACATCCCAGCTGCTAGATTTCCATGGCCCCTAGGTAAGAAGAAGCACAACTATCAAATATTTAAGGAATCTGCTGTTTTTGCCCTGTGCAGTCACAGAATGTCCATCCTGTCTCATAATGTGGTCAGGGTCATTCTGCCAACAGGGCTTTATAAGCACTGTTTCACCCCTTCCCTTGTGGAGACCTCCCTGCTTCATCCACCTCCCTGGGATAGAAACTGGAGAAACTCTGTACTCACCAACCTCTCATCACCTTTGACCTTTAGAAACACAGCTTTGGTGCTTCTTTTTTGGAAAGGGGTAAGAAAAGGAGATTCTACTCTGATAACTTTTTAAAGTCTCTAATATCATCATTTCTTCCCTGATCTACCTAAGACTGATTCTTGCCTTTAAAATCATAAAATGTCAGATACTTAGGGGGTTCCAACCTCTTTGTTTTATGGATGGGGAAACTGAGGCTGGAGGGCTGGGTGGGGAGGGGGGAGTGGGAGTTATTTGTCCTGATTCTCATAGCTAGATAGAAGCAGAATCCAACCTAAAACCAAAGTGTCCTCTTTCCAGTGTTCCAAGTTGCCTTTTGATTCTCTGTCTTGACAGTATTTACAAAACTATTTATTTTGGCTTATTATGGTATTCTCACCTCATTTTCCCTTAATTTTTGTGTTTTTTTCATCCAAATTTTACTTGCTGGTAGTATAGTATAAAAAACTACTCAACAAGATTTGTGAACAGATACAGCAGACCCCTACCCCATTTTTCCTTCCCCAAGACAACCTGTTTTCAGCTCCTTTTGCCTGGTTATTTTGATATCTCTAAATAACGTGCTTGCATCACTACTTGATTTTTGATGTAACTACTGTTTATCAAATGCCTGGTATGGAGGGTGAGGATTAAATTTTTCCATCACCCCAAAACCTCACATTATCCATGTGAAGCTTTTTTGCATATGGTCATTGGAATGTTAAGTTTAAAAATAATGTTTATGTTTCCTTATGTCTATTACTGACATTTGAAAAGCAGGAATTGTAATAATCTAATTTTTGAGCTAAGGTAGAAATAGGTATTTTTTGTATGCCTTTTTTTTTCTTACATATTTGGAAAGCAGTCTTTCATAACACTGGAGAGTGGTCATCTCCACAGCATTTCCTTCCTCCAGTAGCATTTCCTTCCTCTTGGCAGCTTGTATTTTTCTCCTTCAGGAGTGTTTCTCTACATGTTTGTCTTCTTCCAGATGTCTGTGGCATGGCTCATCATGTTCTCCATATTCCTGGAGGATGTTGCAGAGCACAAGCAGTGTTGTGCCTTCCCTGTGCAATGGAATAGTGATGTGCTTTGTTTTCTAGCTAATGGTTTCACAGCAGGGAGACATACTGCTATTTCATAATGCCTTATTTTATATAAACCTTATATTAAAAAAAGTGTCGCAGTTCAGATACACATATGACAGGACTTTGAGGTGGATACAGGCTGTTAAAATGCATGGCATTGAGGTGCCCATGAGCAATGGTTTTACCATGCTGTGCTGAGAGGATGCACTGCTGCCCTGTTCCCTCCCCGGGCCTAATGGTTACTGATGACCACTGTGTAAAACCACAATCTTCTTTCTTTTTCCTGACTTCAGGTAGATGCACTGAGATTACGCCTGGAAGAGAAAGAGTCTTTTCTCAATAAAAAAACAAAACAGCTGCAGGACCTCACAGAAGAGAAAGGGACACTGGCTGGAGAGATTCGAGACATGAAAGATATGTTAGAAGTGAAGGAAAGAAAAATCAATGTTCTTCAGAAGAAGGTAAGTAGTTGACATAAGCCATTCAGGCTGGGAATTGGTATCATCCATGTTTTGTCATTTCAGAGAAATTTTTGAGTACAGGGAAAAGAAGAAATTATTTTTTTTAGAGTTTTAGGTTAGGAAGTATAAACTTTTAACATGCTGGTACTTAACTTACTGGTGGTTGTGTCATGCCATTCTTAGCATGGACTGATGAATTTTCTGTTTGACTGCCTGAAAAATAAATAGAGATGATTCTTTTTATAGTTTCCAGCTTAAATATGGATAATTGTACAAATTTAGATATATGTCTAAAATAATAAAATGTCTGAAAAGTTAATTTTTTCTTTTTCCTTACCAAGAGTTGAACAATGTATTCTGTGGGTCTTGAAGGTATTTTAGATGCATTTTTTATTTATGTAAATTTTAGTAGCTCTTACCGTACTGAACCCATACGGATTTGGTGGGGGGAGTAACGTTTACACCTATTACTTAATTGCAGTCTGTCAGAGAACATATAATAAGTTCTGACTACAGTGGGCTAACACAGAAGATGCTTGATCTAGCTAGGGCCCTTCTTTCCTGTTTTACCGTCAGCAGCTCATTTTCTCCATGTAGGGATCCAGATTTGGGGAATGTACCCTGATATTTAAAAAAAATTCCCATTTGCTACTATGTACAGTTTGGGGAACATAGGGTCCCCTACCATCCCCTGGAAAAGAACAGGCAAGAAGAGAAAACGACTACCTGATCTTTTAAGAAAATAAAATATATTGGAAAGGCATAGGGCTGTCAGATTAATAGGCAGCCAGCGTGGAAACTGGGCAGGAACTGACAGTGGGCAGCACAAGCCAGCTGGCTGGGACACTGCTGCAGACAGGCATATTGCCGGACACCCCTACTGCAGCTGCAGCTGCAGACAAATGGACTCTAACTGGCCCCTCCTCCTGGTGTCATTTGCCACTATCATCTCTCACCTTGTTTATATCAACAGCATCCTAGCTGTTTTTCCTGCTTTCACCCTTACCTTTCCTATAGGCTCTTCTTAACACAAAAGCTGGAGTAGTTCTTTTAAAACATAAAACAATTTATACCATTCTGGTAAAAAAATCTCCAGTTGCAGCCACCTACATAATTTGTGCAGAATGAAAATTGTTCAAAGAGAATTTCTGAATGAGCATAAAACCAAGTCTGGGGCCCTTCAGAGTGTGGGGACCTGTGCAGTTACACAAGTCACATGCCCATGAAGCCACCCCTATCCCCTGTGGCTTCCATCCTCACTCTCAAGGTATTGGTGATCTGATGGATTATATTATTAATTCATTTCTGTCAGAATCTTTACAGACAAGGCCCAGGTGTTTTGATCTCCTCTTTGCAGTGCCAACTAATTGACACAGATGTTTAGAAGAGATCTTGGAAGACATGACCAAGGACCCTTGAATCAATGAGGCCGTTGAGGGCAGATGGGACTAACAGAGAGACAGAGTGGCAGTTCTTAGAGTAGGTACTAAGGATTCAAAAGAAAACTTTTCACTTAAAATTCCCAGGAGTGAATGATGATGAAAGCTAACATTTATAGAACTTATTTTGAACACTGTATGCTGGATATTTTGCTATGCTCGTTATGTGCACTCTTTACTTACTCTTGATCATAATCCTTTGAGGCAGGTATAGTTATTAACCCAGGCAACTGAAGGACACTGAAGTTTATGGTAGGTAGGCAACCCAGATAGGTGCAAGTTTGTTTTTGTTTGTTTGTTTGTTTGTTTTGTTTTTTGTTTTTTTTTGTCTTTGGAAAAGTAGAATACAATGGTTAGTGCAAATTAAAAGAATTAGCGTATGGACCTCAAGTTTTATGATGATGACACCAGCTGTCAATCAAGGAAGAGCATCACAATTCCTTGTTTTACCAGGAGTTGAGACTAAGTGCTCTTATTCTTGAGGAATAAATGGCACTAATGTTATGAATGAAGATTTTGGGAAGGTACTTTCAATGCATAAGTGACAAAAGACATGTGCTGATGGGCACAGTTTGCGAAATTTTATACTTTGCTCCATAAGCCAGACTCAAAGGTTTGGAACTGGTTTGGAAGTTCTTGAGCAAAGCCAATTGTATATTATGACTTCTTTGGGCAACGTGATCATAATCCCACTTATTTAAACCGTGTAGATAATGGATTAGGAAGTATTTCATGTGTATTGGGAGAGGTTCTTCAGTTTTACATTTTTTTTCACTGAGTGTTTACCAACACATTTGGGGAGGAAATAACACCACTGGCAACATAGTGAAGGGGCAGGAATTCTATATACCCGCAATGTAAAGGACAGATAATCCCCAAAGAAGTAATACACACAATTCAGAAATCTAGTCAAAATGTGGAAATAATACAGAAGCTAATGGGCCAATGAAACATTGTCTTTGGGACTGAAGACTCAGAGTTTTGACCACATTCAGCCTAATTGGCTGTTTTAGGGCAGGTCTGGATTGGAACAGCGTAAGCTTTGGATTAGGGTGTGTTGGCATGGAAGAAATAATAAACTTATGTCAATGTCAGACACGTAGTATTACTTCATATTTCTTTCTTATAGACTCCTTGGCAACCAGCACTGTGTTTTGATGCCAATAGAAATGGGTATGCTCCTTTCATAGCCATGTTTAACCTGGCGAAGCTAGGCTTGCACCTCGTATCTGTCAGCCTTGCCTTCAGAGGTCTGAGTCTCAGAAATCTCGTGTCCTCCATAAGCCATGTGAACAGGTCACGTGTCTGGACAGCAGGCATGGACACGATGCCCTAATCATTTTGTTACTTGAGGAAGGAAGTGAAGTTGACGAAACAGAGAACCCCAGGTGACAGAATATCTCTGAGCAAGCTTTTGTAGGAACACAGCAGTCATCAAGTATAGATTTTGGTTCTACTGCAATTTGCCTCCACTCCATAATTCCCAGATATGGAGTTCTTTTAGTAGGGGGACAAAAATGTGCATGTATGAAAATTGTTCAGTGGAGCATCCCCTTATGGCTGTGATGCTGAAGTCAGAGGAGCAGTATAGTTTTCAAGCTGCAGACTTAACATTCTGTTCTCATACCTGAATTCAGACTTCAACTGATGAAGTGCTACCTGACTATTGAGTTTTTGTAGGAAATGTCATAAAACCTTGATGACATTGTACATTTGGAAAGTGTATAATGTCCAGGATTTTAGGACATGGTAGCATTATTTGACCCAGATCAAATTCAGACTGTTATGTAGCTCACGCAACATAAACCTACTACCCAAGAAATTTTTAAAAAGTCATTAAATTGGACAAAAGTTCTATCTCCATTTTAATTCTAGGGCTCAGTCCCACTTTATAGAGCAGAGGCACTTTATTTATTAGGGGTAGAAAAACAGATGGTGATTTCTCTGGAAGCCAGGTTCACTAGCTACCTACTGGGCTTCATGGATTGCCCTGTGGGTTGGAAAGGGCAGGGAGGTGTGAGTGCAATTGGCTTCTAGGGGTGGCATCTATGGACCTGCCCACTTCAGCAGCTTTATTCTACCAATTTGGAAGTGTGGTGGTGAAAATTCTGAATGATGATAAGTTCAGAGGTAAAGACCCTACAGGACTATGGTTATTAGCATACTGGGTTTCTTCATGAAGTTTATTAAAAATAAAAAATAAAAAACAATTACCTGAGAAGATGATTATAGAACATGGAGATTTCCATGTTGGTGTAAAGTTGATTAAAGTATGGAGCACTTTTTGACTTAATTGATCTTTTTCCTGGTGTTTAAACATCCAGTTGCACTTTTATATTATTATTGGCAAGCCTCCTGTTTTTTGAACATGTGCAAAATCATATTATTTTTGCATTTACTGAGTGTTTCCTATGTGTCAGTAAGTCACTACTCTAGGTCCTGGAGGCTCAAAGGGATATAACATATTCTCTAGTCCTCAGGAAGCTGATAGTCTGGTTGGGGAGATAGACATGCATAATCCTAAATGTAAGTACAGTGGAGAGCAACATGGCATATTACCAGAAACAAACTGCTTGATGAATGCAAACAGCAGAAGCTAATTCTGCTACCTTGAGCAAAAGGGAGTTAGTTTATGGCAAGGATATCCAGAGCCCCAATGTCTGGCTGGTAGAACAAGATTAGAAATGATCGAGTCAGGACAGCTGTAGAAGACTAAGAGAAAAGAGCGAGTGCCATGATCTCATAACCAGGAGTGTCTGTTCAGGTGTTTTCTCTGCTGATGGCTGCCCTCTCACCTTCCTCCCTCTTCCCTTACATCACACTGTTGGTTGAGATTTAAAGTCCTGGGGCAGAGCTCCAAATTTCACACAGGTGCCTCTCATTGGTAGGATCTAACCAAACCTGCCCTAAAAGGAATCTGGGAAATGTGGTTCCAAGCTTTACACCTGAGATTTCCGCTCAGTTCTTGTGTCACTTACACTGGGAAGTCTTTGCTGACATTGCAGGCTGGGAGAGGTTTTAACTTTTAAAGAACCATTTCTTGGCTCAGTTTGAAATTCTGCATCCCTTTAGTGAGTGTTGGCTTCCCTCCCATGGCTAATCTCCTTGAGTGCCCCAACCGTGATCATCAAGATACTTCCAGCTTTTTGCAGAATTCTTGGCAGGTGATGGTCCTCAATCAATATGCATTGGGTGAATAAATTATATCAGCAAATTCTGAATGAATGAGAACTTGGGAGAAGAGAAATCATTTTGAGATCCACTCCTGGCCCAAGAATATTGTTAGCTATTAGGAGTCTTTTGCCCCAGTGAAATGTTAGACTCACTTATTGTTCCCAGGACAGAATGTTCTCTGTAGGCTGCAAGATGGAACCACCCCATGGATAATAAAACGGATGAGGAAATTACTTCTGCTCTACCCACATCTAACACCTCAAGCCTTGGTTCCATTACCCTGACAAGGTAAAAATGGATTAAGGCTTGAGTAAGGGCACTTAACTACTCTTGCTTCATTTTCCTTTTTAATAAAAAGAATATGTGACATTTATCAAGTATACTGTC